GTAACAATAGTGATATAATGAGATTAAGAGGCCAAAGAGTAACAATAAAACTTAAAGCCACTATTATGTGACGGGGACCGTTTACAATCGTGGCTTCAAGGTACAGGTGTCAGAAGTTCCCTTTTCCTTGATAGCTGGCTTCTCAGACCCCCTCCGGCTGTACAGACTGGCCACGATTTTGATTTGACTCTTAGAATTCAGCCATGGGTGATTTTTAGAAGAAAGAAAATTGCAAAGCGATGAGATTTAGCCCAAGAAGAGAAGTGAGGAATGAAGACCATCTATGGCAATCCCCAGGACTGATTTAAATATCCTGCCGGCTGAGTCAGATCTAAAGTCTAGATGGTAGGGCTATGAAAACCACCTTAAAATAAAAAGGAAGTCTTGGGATATAATAACAACGAAAGAGCATGCCACTTGTCACTCCTTCATCTCCAGGCATTGCTAAGCGGGATATATTCATAATGATTTCTCTGAAACCTCCACTATATCAGACCCAAAGAGGAATCCAAACCCTCTCTTCTTTTGTCTCAAGAAGCTGAGGATTCAGAACAAGAGTTAGAGACACCCCACTGCTGATGGAGTGTCCCCACTGTGAGCGCCCCTGGAAGAACCTTAGAGAATGTGTAAGAGGTGGCGTCTTGAGCCACGTGACGGTCTTCCTATCTATCTCACCCCCAGGAGTAGCAGCGTGCCCACACCGTACGCCCCAGTTTCCTCACCTCCAAAGCTGAGAGAAGTACTGGGCTGATAAAGATTAAATGAGTTACTGACCTTGATATGACTCTTAGCAACCTTCTGTCAGAGACAGTTGTACCATGAATGTTAGGCAGTAGCCCTTGGAGTTGATATTCCCAATGGGCAAGACAAATATAGCATTCTCCTTGGGATCCAGTAATTTACCATTTGATTTATTTTTTGTTAAAGTAGTAACCTTCCTTATCCCATGAAGCCTTCCCTAGGAGAGGTGGGCTTGAGAACTTCAAGGGAGGGAGTGAACCTGCAGGAACCCTTTCTCAGCACGGTTTCCCAGCCTTTTCCACCATGAAAACATGTAACTGGAGTCAAGATTTCCTCTCTTCACCTGTTGCTTGGAACACAAGGAGGATGGTGTTCCCTTGAGTTGGTCAGCAGCCAGGCCTGGGTTCCAACGGAATGCCAGCATTACCAGACCACTCCCATAAAAATTCTGACTTAGGTGGTCAAGGTCAAAATTCAGAAATTTGGGTTTTTAACAAGCATTCCAGGTATATATATATATATATATTTTTATCTTCAGGGAAGGTTGAGAAATCCTGGGGTAAGTAAGACCAATAGAACTTAGAAAGGAAGTTGGGGTGAAAGAATTGGTGAAGGTAGTATTATAGGCAGGCCTAGAAGGAAATATGGAAAGACCCACAGAGAGATGACCTTGAGTAAATCCACAGGAGGGGCTGAAATAGGAGGGAGAGGTCAGCAATCAAATATGGAGAAAGTGATCTGATAGCTACTGGAGGCCAGCTTCCCTCCCAGAGTGAGATTTGGGGTTCACTGTCTCAGAAGGCATCAGTGAACTCCCTGGTACAGCTGCAAGTTCCCATGGCTGCATCTTGTGCAGCCCAGGGATGCCCTGGATGTTGGCATGGTAACCAGATAGAAGCTGCAAAATGAGGCCATACTGGTAAGGGCTTCCGGGCTTCAGCTCCCCGCCACTCTGCGCTGGTGCCACAGTGCACACAGTAGCATGCCTTCAGAACATTCTTCAGACCCCACTCCAGATCAAGTAAGCCAGAGCCCCGCTGGGAACACTCTCAACCTCTCCCTGGGACTCTAAGCAGCAGCCAAAGTGAGAGTCCTTCAGCCACCAGGTAGCTCTCAGAAGCAGCTGCACCTGAGTTACCTGTGAGTGCTTAGAAATTGCCAGCACCTGAGACCTATCTACAGAGACTCCCATTTAATCAGGCTCAGGTGTAGCCTGGTCACCAGACATTCTTAGAAGTGTTCTCATAACATGTGCAACCAGAGTGGAGAACTACCAACCAGACTTTATCCTCTATGACCAAGGAATAAACCAGTTTGCTTAAGTCCTTGGGTCTGGGTTGAGAGTGAAGAGAAACTAGGGTTGTCAGAGGGAGGTAGACCCTGGCCCCACTCTGCAGAGCACACACCTGCATTTCTCTGGTCATTTGACTTTCCCAGAACTTGTCTGGGGACAGCCGACTTCTCAGTGATATAGTTAAGCTTGGCCCATGTCTTTCTGATGGTTTGGGGTGAATGGTTTTATGGACAACCTCCATCACAGATAAACCATTTATGGGCCACCTCAATAGATCATCCGTCTTCAAGGTCAAGGTGAGAGAAGCAGAACCATGCATAGCAACAGCAGAGCATAGTAGATACAGCTGCTGACGTGAAATCTGCCCTTGTAGCCGATCATCTGAGCCCCTCCAAGCCCTTCCATTGGTCACTCCATAATCAATTGATGAAAGCATAGTTTAGAGGGTGGACATCTCATAAACTGACTTCATTGAGTCAGTGAGTTCTGCAGAGAGGCACATGTCCGTCACTCTATGGTGACTTTCCTGGGATGTAATGGAATTGTTGTTGTGAATTTAAAACAAAACAAAATAGTATAACATTGAGGCATCCAGATGGTACCATTGAAATGTCAATAATTTTTTTGGTATAATTTTTTTGCAAGGTCCACAGCTCTTTTTTTTTTTGTTTCTTTTGCTGAGACACAGTCTCACTACATTGCCCAGGCTAGACCTCAACTCCTGGGCTCAAGTGGTCCTCCCACCTCAGCCTCCAGAGTGGTCAGGAGGACAGGTGCACACCACCGTGCCAAGCCATGGCGTATTCTTTAAGTTTAATTTTTAATAATGTCTTTATGCTTTAGGATTGATTTTATTTCATCATCAGAAATCACTTAAGCCAACTGTTTTGAAGAGAGTGAGTTATCAAAGGAGAAGTGACTCACTTTGTTTGAAAACTTCCTCGTGGGAATCATAAGAACACTGTGAGGGGGAAAAAAATCAAAAGATATAGGTTAGTCAAAGTGGAGGAAGAAGGAAGGGAGGGAGGGAGGGAGGGAGGGAGGGAAGGAGGGAAGGGAAGGTAATTCTTTTGGAGTATAGAATGGGTAAAAGAAGAGTATTTTAAGGATACCACCATATTTCATAAAATTCTGGAACAAAATATAAAGAAAAAGGTCTGATTTTTTTTTTTTGCTAAAATTTGTAGGTTGCATTTTTGAAGGATTCTCCTGGAATCACCATTTTGAATCTGCATGGGGTGCCTCCAAATGGCTTTCCTCGTGTTTACACCTTGGAGAGTTCCTTAGGGACCAGGCAGAAGAGAAACACAGCTTTCCAGCTCTTCTAGAATTAGGGACCATGAGTTGGATAGTGCTACCTAATGAACTAAACCCCTCCCTGGTGGGTATGTGAGTGCCCATTCCAAAGAGCCTACCCCTTTGGATAAACCAGCCGCCATGCTTGGTTATGGGAGTGCTCCTGTGAATTTTGTGTAAATAGAGGTCCTTCTAGATGCCCATCAAGGGCACCCTAAAAACATCGTGCCTGTTGTTAAGGGTGCCTGTGTCTTAATGTCCCTTGAGTCAAAGATGCGTAAGTGGAAACAAGTCTGCAACTAAAACACCTCCTTCGTTTTTTTAAAGACACAAATTGTATTGCTCCTCAGATAATCATGAGATTCAAAACAAAAAAAGAGCAAAAAGCCAATGAAATTAACTTTTGTTGTCTTAAAAGGGGGTGAGACATTAACTTAATTTTGACTTTTGTTATGTCAAAGAAATACCCTTCTCCAAGCCTGTGTAGTTTTTTATTTGTTTGTTTGCTTGTTGTTGTTTTTTTTTTTAAGTTTTATTGTTAGAGAATTTTCAGCTGAATGTTAAATTCTAGGGAATATTCAAATGGTAGCTCTGTTGATATTCTAGGGTGTGCCTCATGCAACAGTAAAACTTTCTTAAGATGTTTTAAGAAATGCTCGATCCTTAGATGGTTTTTGAACACAGAAACATTTGAACAAAACCAATCATATTAAAACCAACAAAAACTGCATTTATCTTGATTCCTCAGCCATATGCACAGTAAAAGGTAAGAAATGGGAACCTGGATATTGTCTACTTATGCTTTTGAGGCATTTAAGGCCCTAGTCAATCTCACCGGATCATTATAATCTTCCTGACATATATGTTCTTATTTCTAAGGAAATAAACACCACCTCTGAATTAGAACATGTTTACACTGTGGAATTGTCACAGTTGGAAGCATCTTAAGAGAGTTTTATCATCTTTCTGGATTTGCTAAATCAAAGTAAAATAGCATTTTCCATTTTTGTTTTCTTTCCAGTATTGCATCATTAAAAGTAATTTGGGAAGACAGGGCTTATCTCAATTGATGAGTTCTCTCATGTTCTTTATATAACAAGCCTAGTTTGGTGAGGAAATTATTACCCACGACCTGGCACCATATAACATTCTCTTCTAGAATGAGAGCATGTCTTTTTCTTTCCTTTTTTTTAAAAAAAAAAAAAAAAGAAAAATTCTGCTAGTCTACCATAATAATGAAGTCTGGAATTTGGTGATGATGCTAGCTAGCTGCAGTATACTCTTTTCCTAATAGAGAGCATATATATATGTGTGTATGCGCATATATATGTATATATTAATTGTAATCTCCTTTTAGCATAAACATCCACATAAGCACAGTTCCAGCTGCTCTGGCCTTAGAGCCCACCCTGGCATGACGTTTGGTAACACACAGTATTAATACTCTGACGCAACAGCTTGTACATGACCCACACTCTGACACCCCCATGAGCTGGTGTAAGAGGTCCCGCATGCCTGATCCACAGTCTTTCCAAGCTCTCGAGTCCGAGGTCCATTACATTCCCATGCAGCACCCTTCCCTGCCCGCCTCTGTCCACATCGAACCAACTGGCAGAGAGCACATTTCCCCCTGAGCGAGCAGTATTGTGAATCTTATCTTCTCTTCCAGAAATCAGTTCGTCTTCGTTGCAGCAGATGAAATTTCTTGTAACACCTCTGCAGGTAAAAAAAACATTGCTACTTCTTGATGCATCCATCCAAGTCTCAATATCCTTTTTTTCCCCCCTTCTTCACATGCTGCAGTTGGTCACTCTAGAAAAGTTTAGTGAAAGAAAGAAAGATCATAGACCTTTGGAGTATAGCTGAAGCCTGCAGGCTCTGCCATCTAAAAAGACATTACTTATTTTGCTAACGTTGATGCTTTTATTTCTGATTTTAAGAATACATGGTCCAGAAAAAAATAAGACTATGTTGAATGAATCTACATTAAAACCTCATGGTGTAATCAGTATTCTTATGGTGAAATACTGATCAGGGGAGATTAGGGACAGAGACTTGTGACTTCCATGTTTTTTTTAATGCATTATATCTGGGTTCACAGAGACTGAAATGTGAATTATTTGGGATCTTTGAAGAATATCATAGGCCCTAACAGGCTGCATCTATAAAGCCAGAGGCATTGAGAAGTGTAATTATCTTTGTCTTATAAGAAGGGGATCTTCATTCTATTAGCTGAAGATCATCCATTTCCTTTCCTTCAAAACATACCTCAAGTAGCAGGACTTAGACAAAGTTTTTTGGGGTTTGAATTCAGCACACTGACCAATGGAAACTGCATAGTTGCATGACATGTCCATCAAAATGACACCTGTCTTTTTGTTTTGATGTGGTTTAGAACGATCCATTTGTACTTTTGTTAGCATGGAATTACTTGATTAAATGCCAAGATAGGTGAGTGTCTTAACTAATACCAGATTTCTTTTTTTTTTCTTTTTCTTTCTTTCTTTTTTTTTGTTTCCTTTTTCTTTTTTGGTTTTAAGGCCTAAATTATAACCAAAATAATTACTAGGAAATCTTGCCAGTGTGTTGCTCTTGGCCAACGAGGGAGGACCTAACAGCTCATCCATTGCTGGCTGAGCATGCCAGGACCTTCAAAAGCAGACATTAAGCCCGAGCTTACAAATAGACCCTCATCTGTTACCAGCCACCGTTGTCAATGAAGCAGTAAAAAAGCTTGCTTGCTAATGCTCCTCTCCCTATTTGGAGTCTTTGGTGAGAGTGAATGAGAGGAAGGACAGGGTTAGGAAAATGCCCCTGGCCCTCTCTGTCCCCACAGGCAGGACCACCCCCAAACTCTGCATCATTTCACTTAAAGAGTTGGTCTCAGCACATTTAATGGTGTGAAGTCTGACCCCTCAAGTTCCAAAGGTTTGCATGCTGATTTTTTTAAAGCAATTTGCTGACTCCATTTGTACGAAATCCCTTTGACAATGACCTTGCTGTTTCCCCACTTCCATCCCCAGCCTTAAAGAAGCCTCCGCTTCTCCCTGTGAGAGGTGGTGACATCCTAGCACTCCACTAACACCTCACAGCATCAGGTCACTTGTAATTGGCCCTTCTCGGGGTGGCAGGGGAGTGTTCCTGGACTGCCAGAATAGTCTGAGGTTCAGAGCCTTGAAAGAGGGGCACACACAACTCAGGGGAAGGTGCAGGCCAGAAGTCGGAGTGCTCTGTGGACGGGCTGGGTTCTAGAGCTTCTGACTTCCCTGTGAAACTCTGTGCAGGCTCCAGGGTGTCTTAGACTATATTTTGACATCAGAGACCCAACACTGAAATGTCACAACCTAAAATATAGAACCTGCTTTCATCCCACCACTTAACAAACCCTGCCATGTCAGCAAGTGACCCACACATCAGATTCCCAAAAGGAGCGACGGCTGTGAACATGTGTGTGAGGACGGCAGGGGTTTGGGCCCACCTTATTTAATTCCAAATGGCCGCTCAGTGTATTCTTAATGAATTGCTATTGGTCACATTTCAAATTGATAGAGAGATCCCTCGCCCTCTGATGGTCACATTAATAGTATGTCGTGGCTTCAGAAGGTTCCATTGGAACTCAGAATTTTGAATCGAGCTTGAAAACGGAGACACCCATCTCACCCCAGTCCACAGTGGGAAAGAGGCGTCAGCCCTGCAGTGAAGTGAGGGTCTTCCAGGGCTTCCTCCTCTCTGTGCTGGCACCCAGCCCACCCACACTGCACACAGCACCCCTGCCAGGATCTCGCCTCCTGGTGTGAACACCCCACGAGGGGCAGGCCGTTGCATCCTGATATCGGCAAACACCAGGGTTTGGCTAAAGTCAAGGTGTCTCTTTTTATGTGCAGAAAGAAATCGACACAATGCTTAACATCTGTGGGGGGAGGCATGCTGGATTTTATGCCCCGAGAGTCTTATGAAGATGTGCTCTTGCAGCAACACTGCCATCAGAGCAGCCCAGACAGTCCTGTCGTGACTCAGGGTAGAGACGGGGAGATGAAAACCATTAGGCAGGAGCCATGACAGCACCCAAGGCTTTCTTTAAGTTCCCCAAGGCAAAGTGACAGTTCTTACTGGAGACTTTTGCAGTGTATGCCAAAATGCCCATTTTGCTTTGGTTGGCCATGTAGAATAAACGCTTTTCCTTAGCATTAGTGGATTGTGAGACTGTGTTTACAGGGACACTGGTTTTCTAAGTCCGTGTTGCAACACTGGTATTGCTTGTTTTGCTTTATTTTGTGATAAAGGGCACCACTGGGCACTGTCCCTTTAAGAGCAGGGCAGAAGAGTACCTGTTTTGTGGCCTCAAGAGTCTCCAGGACTTAGATTCTGCAGGAGATGGCAAAGGGACAGATGATTTTCCCGTCTTCTTAGACTCCAAGTCTCCCTGCCTCTTGGTTTACTAGAACTTTTCCAGGCTGGGCTGGTGGCTGAAGCAGAGTGGTCAGGTCCTGCATGAGAAAGGAGATTGAAAAGGAAGTTACTGATTTGGATGAGAGGCTGGAAATTCACCGGAGTCCATCATAACCTATGGAGCCGATGTCGTGTGCGAGGAATTGTGCTGAGCTCTGAGGTCACAGCCTTACATAAGTCAGGAGAAGACCCCAGGGAAAGAACCTCCCTTCTCCTAGAGAGCAGATCCCAGCATGCATCTGAACGAGCACAGGGTTCGCTTGTCCGTGAAGCTATACAGGGTCAATGCGCCACACAGCGGGGGAGAGCCAGAACCTGGAGTGTAAGGCAATGTCAGATTCAGATCTGAGAAGGCGTCTCTGAGGACCGACATTGGAGCAGGGACCTGGGTGAAGGCACGAGCCAGGTCAACAGTTGCAAAGTTGAGAGTGATTCAGGTTGACCTGGCAGCGAGTGCAGAGGCCCTGGGTTTGAGGCGTGCTTGAGAGGTCCACGCAGTGAGGCTGTAACATGTGAGTACAAGTGTTTTAGAGATGGTATCCGAGGGTTAGCCAGGGCTCAGAGCAGGTGGATCTTGGCACCCATGAACGTGTTTGGAGTTTTACTTCAAGTGTCATGGGAGGGCTTTGGAGGGCCACACTGCATCTGACTTAGATTTTTAATTGGTTGGTTAGATGCTTTGTGGAGAGCAGACGGCCATATGGTCAGAGCAGAAGGGAGGGAGGCTCTTGCAGCTGTCCAGAGAGGAGCCACAAGAGCCGGGGAGGGCACCATGGCTGTGTAATTCGGGAAGTGGTTTCCTGGATTTTGATGGGAGAACAGATAGAACATGCTGGAAGGTTGGCAGTTGCAGTCTGCGTTAGGTGTCCATGCTCCCTCTTCTCTGAGGCCGCACGAGTGACTTCCTAGTGTGCCAAGGCTTTAGTCACAGTGGGGAGTGAGTCCCTGCCCCCTGCAGTCATGGTCCCCGCCCAGGCTTGACTGAATCCTCAGGGTGTGGCAAGAACGTGCTGTTGTTTGCTGAGCGAATTCCACACTGGCAGGTGTGACACGTTCGGCACGTGCATGCTTGTGCACACGTGTGCACGAGCAGATGGATGTGTGCGTGTGTGTAAAGACAGAGTCTCAGGACAGACCGCGGAGCTGGATGGTAGCATCATCCTGGTTTTGAAGACCAAGAAAGAAAAGGAAAGGCTCAGACCCAGAGTCTGAACCAGCCCAGAGCCACCCTAGAGGCCTTCAGGAGCCAAAGCTCATTCACAGGGTCACCCTGGCCCTACTGCCCCTCTATCCTGACCTTCCTTGACTTTCTGCTTCCAGATGGGGTACCCCTTTCTCCTGCTGTGCTCTCTTTCCTCTAGAAAAGTATCATCTTTTCCCTGGAAGGCACTTTTGCTAACAGTTTGAGGAAGCCCACGGGCACTGGAGGGTGTTTGCTTAACTGGACCTGTCCCCGTTGGGCAGCAGGTGTAGGCCAATTGCTCCTCTGTCCAGGGCAGGGTCTTCTTTAGGTGCAGGGTTTGGCCTAGGTCAGATGCCAGGCCAGAGAGCCTGATGTGCATAACAGGGACAGAGGGTTGAACAGGTGCGGTGTGCTCCAGGTCAGCCTACCAAACACATTTGTTGTTGTTGTTGGGAATCCATGGCTGAACATCAATTACCCTAAAACTACCAGACAATTTGAGCTAGTCAGTTTTGCCAGTCCCAGGTAGGAGGTTCCCAGCTGGGATGGTGTGTGTGTGTGTGTGTGTGTGTGTGTGTGTTGAGTATAGGTGGAGGCTGGGGCTCTCTCCAGTAGCAAGACCAGAACCCCATATCGTGGTGGCACAAGAAGCAAACCTGAGACACAGTCCCAGTTCCCAGTTAACACAAGACAGAGCCCCGTGGTGTAAGGGTAGGCAGCTGTGAACACCTCTGCAAAAGCTGCTGAAACTGTCCCCTATGGGGAGCTCACTCAACTGTCCCCTGTGGGGCAAGGTTTACTAAATAGTAAAAGCAGTATCTGTCAAGTTCAGGAGCCTAGGGGGGTGTGCGGCCTCTTCCGTCCATCTATCTCCCCTGAACGTGCACACACACGCACGCGATTGCAACAAAACTTCAAGATAACATTGAGAAGAGATTTCCAAATTGGCCATTCCTCTCATTGACCCTTCAGCAAGTCCCATCTGTCTTCCCCGCATTTGGGTGATTTGCTTATTCAGCAAAGTTGTCATTCAGCAAATTGATTTGTGGTTAATTGGTCTGTTTCCAATGAAGTGCGGGGTTTCTTGCTAGGGGAAGTACTGGGTGCCACCAGAGCATACAAGCAAAGAAACTCTGCAAAAGGGATGATTGCATTTATTATAAGCTTACTGTGTACAGCACTGTTCTGAGATTGTTGTATGCAAGAATATAAGAGTAAAATGTCCTCATCAGTTTATTTGTAAATGTCCTCATCAGTTTATTTGTTTACAAATAAACATCTAGACTGCCCTGAATTAGCCTGAATAGGAGAATGGTGTATCAGTGCAAAATTAATAAAAATATAAAATAGTAGTCATCAAATTTTGGAGGAGTGGCTGAAAATTAATGCAAAACTTATTGCAAATGCAGAGCCCATTCCATACCCCCAGATTCCCGAATCTGGAGAAGGTGCCTGAAATTCTGCCCTCTGACAATTTCCCCAGAGAATGCCGTAGAGGAGTGTGCAGATCACACCTTGGGAAACACTAGTGCTCAGTGGAATCTTTCTATTCAACAGAAAGCAGGTGGGAAGGTTTTCCAGACTATTCTGATGACCTCCAATGACACGAGGCACTGAACTCTTGAAATGGGCTGGGCCACCGTGCCATGGGTTATACGTGTAAAACATATTGGATTTCCAAAACTTAGCATTCAAAAGCTAGGTGAAATATTTCATTGATAATTGTATGTGAATCACACATTGAAATGATGATAGTTGGATTATATCAAGATAAATAAAAATATAAAAATAAATTTTACCTGTTTCTTTTTACTTTTCTAAATATGGCTGCTGTGAACATTAAAAAATGACACACGGGGCTCACATCGGTGGCTTTCATTCTATTTCTGTGGGACAGTCCACTTCCAGAGTCATGTTTTCATTCACTGACAGTGTGTTCCTTTGTTTTAATTTTGCCTCCAAGTAAGAGTGTGAGTGTGAGTGTTTGAGTGTGTGTGTGTGTGTGTGTGTGTGCACGCACATGCATGCTATGGAAGGGGATATTCCTCCTTGGGGATCCGCGTCCAGACCTACTTCTTTCATGCTTGTCATCTCTCAGGATCTTTGATCTGTTTGCGTGGGGCACTGGGGGTCCAGGATGGTCCATGGTCAATTCGGCCTGGAGTGGAGCATACACACTCCAGGGGCTCTACTGCAGTGTCTGGTCATCACACGTGCAGGAGAGCTACAGAAGTCTCAGTCCCAATCCTCCGTCACTAACACTTGTTCAGTTACTAAGTAGCCAGTGATCAGTAACCAGCACCTCACCCTCAGGGCAGCCTCACCCCGTCAGGATGCACGTTGGCTTCTGCGTTCCCGGCTGGAGAGAGAGACACTGCTTTCCGAGGTTATTCAGCACGGAAGCAGCAGAGGCAGATTTGACTCTGTGAATTCTGACCCTGAGGAATCCTTAGCTACTGCTGCTCAACCCTGCTGGTCTGCAGGGGTATTAAAGAGCTCACCAAAGATGCAAACCCCTTTGTGATCCCCCATGTGGTTTAAACGGCCACTAGGGTGCCATGGTGATTTCAGAGCATGATGGGAAATTCCTACTGATTTTGGTACCGCAGCAGTTGACATGCAGAAAGTAAAACAGGATTTCTAAGAGGAGTATGGTCTTGAGTTTGTCTTAAAGAGTGCACTACCGTAAAGTGGCTCCGTTACTGGAGGAGGCATGGCGGAGTGGGTGGATTGTATGGCCAAGAGTGGGACTGATTGGTGCCTTCAGTCCCAGAAGTGACTGCTGCCTCTCTAGTTTGATGAACCCACAGTCAAGGCTCTTAACCCCAAATCCGCTCCCTTGGAATTCATATTTGGAAGAGGCTTTGAGAGGGCAGAGACAGAGTGATGCTATCCAATTACCATGAATGTAAGATCTCATTCTTTTTGATTCTGTAGATGCTGGATTTACGTGTGCTTTTATGTACCTCTGGTTCAGATGTGTGACAAGGGCCCGTGTGCAAAAACGAATTCTCTGGCTTCCAGGTAGATGCTAACAAGCTCAGAAGGCACTTTCCCTCCTGCTTCTGGGTAGAAAAATCATGACTCAAAGCTGTGCTGAGTGGTTCCTGAAGGTGATGCCTTTCGAGCCTTGCTAAGGAAGTGAGCAGTAGAATTCAGAAAGAGCCGTGCAGAGATGAATGGAGAGATTCTCTCACCTCCGCTTGTGTATTTTCCAGGGGTTCTGCTGCATTTGGAGGTGTTTCCTAGGTGTTTTGGGTTATGGGACTGTGTATCTTGAGAAGCTTTTAGAACACAAGGGCTTGGTTTCCTCCTTGTCTGTAAAGGTTGAAGTCACTGGAACCAGGAGGAGGCTGCAGCAGGCACAGAGGAGCACTCCTCGTGGGTGCCTTCCCTGAGCTGAGCTGACCAACTGACATGTGAGGCCGAGGCTTCAGCTGGCCCTGCATGAGAAGCTGAACAGCCCCCCACCCTGCTGACCATCGCACCCCAACGTCACTCCCTGTCCACCCAAGCAGTTCTCACCTTAATACTTTTGGGAGGGTCTTTTCCCTGTTATAGAAAACCAGGATGTGTGGCTGGGGGTTCTGGAAAATTCTCTCCAGTCTTCCTGCAGGGTCAAAGCAGGCTGATGGTCAGCAGCTCCTCTGCATGGGGGATGAAGATTGACCATGGTCCCTGGAAGATCTGCCCACAGTCTTGGCCATTAGTACCCCCAGCATCTTGTCAAACTGGTCACACTATAGGCTCACTATAGTCTGACTACAGTCTCCCAGACCTTAAAGCCTTAAAGTCTGGGATTTGGTAGATATCCATTTGTACAGGGATGAGGGGATGACCCTTCATTTCAGCAATATACCCAGAGGCCCTGAGCCAGGGATTTGAAAGACCTTCCGTGGAAGCCCATGTTCTGAGCCACACCTCTTCAACCTTCAGAGTGAGGGGTTTGTTTTGTTGGTTTGTTGTCATCCTGGATTCAGAGAAACCCCCTGAGCCAAAGGGCCCTGTTAGATGCTGTGGTCATGAAATGGCCAGGGCACTTGTCAGAAGCCATGGGCCTTTGCGGGAGGCTGGGGTTTCTGTGCTGTGTGGCTGCACGGAGGCTCAGTGATGAGTACAGAGGTGGCCTGTGGTGGCTGGATCAGGGGCAGAAGCCGTGAGGTCATCAAGGACAGTGGGAGTGGGAAAGCCACGGGTCCGCTGCCTGGTCTTCTCAGTCCTCTCCCTGGCTGCTGCTCCCTGCCGTCTCTAGCCACTGGGAATTGCCAAGAGTGTCTGACCCAACACAAGAAGGTGTGGCCGGGGCCACACATTCCTGCCATGTCACCTGTGGATGGGGGAAGCCACAACTCAGCAGGGAATTATACCAGCAGTGACACAAGCCGGAGGGTTTTCCTTCAGCAGTCACTTGGTTTTCATTGGGAAAGGTCCCCAAATCCCCCCAAATGAGGGTAGTAGGATGGTTATCCAGATGGGTTGGGAATCACTTCCTCTTAGGCACAAATAGCTTGTGATGTTTCCCTTCTCCCTGGTGCCACAGAGAGCCCCAACCAGGCTGGACACTGGGCCCAGTCAAGGGGCCTTGTTAAGAGAAATCAAAGAGAACATCCCTAGCTAAACCTTGGCTCTCTGAACAGCAGGTGTTAGAAACCCTGGGCTCCTGTGTGGTCAGTGTGGTGGTTGCATGGATTCTGTCTCCTACACACTTTATAGTCTAGAGAGAAAAGGTAGGGCAAGCCACGCATGGTGGCTCATGCCTGTAATCCCAGCAACTCAGGAGGCTAAGGCAGGAGGATTGCAAGTCTGAGGCCAGCCTGGGCAGGTGGGGATGTAGGGCTCAGTGCTAGAGCATCCCTTGGCAGACAAAGGGAAAAAAAAAGGAAAAGAGAGGCACGGAGACTTTCTAGACCCCCTCTGGGAGGCACCCCACTTTGAATGCACACCCGGCAGCCCTTCCTGTGTGGGAGGCCGGAGGCCTGCCTGCCCTCTTGATGCGAGAGGGATGTCAACACTACCTTGTGACCTTCGTCTGAGGGGTGAGCATATTTTGTCCATCTTTCTTCCCCCTGTGGATCCCCCCAGTAGTCTCCAGGATAGGAGTCACGGGGAGGTCATGCTAAGGGTGTTCCCTGAGTATTGGAGGATGGGGTGGAATTGATACCCTCTTCTTGGAAGCAAACCATGGGGCTGCCCAAACCCTAGAGTGGGACACCAGCCCAGGCCCGTTGTGTCTCAGCAGCACCCAGCTCGTCTGAACTCCCTGTTGAAAGCGTCAATAACGAGCGGTATTTACACTTCTCGGTGGAGCTGACGAAGCACTTCAACAAACAAGGTTCATATTTCCCACTCAAGAGGCAGCAGGCTCATCCATTTCACTCCAGCATAACCTCGAGTTCAAGTGCAGCAATTTGAACTACATCTGTAACTCATAAATTAGATAGACCTCCCCTCCAGTGTGATTGCCAGGGCTGCGCGCAGGCACGCTAGGCAGAGCCTCTCAGGTCCCCGGAAGAGCCAGCCTCAGGGCGGGAGTGAGGAGCCTGGCAGCACCGTTGCCAGTGTCTGTGGGGGCTTTCAAACGCACCTGGTTTCTATTCCTGCACTTTCTCTGAATTTGGCAGGGCTCAGGCAGGGAAGGGTCATTTCACCAGGGAGGTGGCCAGGGCTGGGCAGGGGAGTGAGGACATGGAGCAGCCTGCGTGCAGCCTGTTCTGGCCCGGCCCACGGCTCTCCCTGGGGCCCCGGCTTGCCCCCTGGTTTTAACATGTTTGGGAGCTCAGAGGAGAGGGGTCCTCCCCTGTGGCCAGGGGCTGACAGCTGTGGAGGCCCAGCCAGCAGAGCAGTCGTCTGGGATTTCCTTGTTCGGTTTTCCCCTAAAGGGTTTTGATGAACTCTTCTTGGCCACTGAGCTCGTGGGGATGATGTAAAGTTCCATGTTCTGTGTTTCTAGAGACCCCAGAAGCCTTTCTTCTGTAGATCTTCAAGGGTTTTGAATGTCTGGGAGCCACTGACTTAGAACCTTCAGAAAGCCTATTGCAAAGAACCTTCCTACTGATAGAAGACCCTGACCCATCCCACAGAGAGGAGCTTCTGACGTGCTCCACAAGGGCGCCTGATAGGTCCCACCGGTAGATCCCACTGGTAGGGTCTCCTGATGGATCTCACTGATAGAATCATCTGATGGATCGCCATGGTGGCACCTCCTGTTAGATCCCCGGGATGGAACTGTGGCCGTGGTTCAAGTGTCTCCAAGGCCCTCTTCCCTCCTGTCCACCTGCATGGCCCCTTTCCTCCTTCACTGCAGAGTAGACTCATGGGGCCCCAGCCTCACAGAGCCCCCCTGGCAGGAGGGAGGAAGGTCAACATTCAGAGAGAGAAAAGAAGTGACGAGGGATTTGCTGAATGTCACCAGGGACTAGGAAGAAGGTTGAAAAGTGTCCTTGAGAGGGAGTGGTCAGAGAAAGAGGCATGGCTCTGAGGAGGGGACATTAGATCTGGGACACGGAGGTTGAAAAGAAGCAGCTGAGGTGGAAGGGGGCAGGTGTCAAGGCCCGAGAGACAGGCCGGCTGTCCACGTGTGCAGGGACTGTTGATGGGGCCAGCGTGCCTGAGCTCCGGATGCACAGAGGGAAGAAGACAGGGAGAGAGGGACGGCGGATCACCCAGGTTCAGATGCTCTTCCAGGGTCAACAGAACACCCTTTGAGAGTTTTATGCAGAGAGCTGATGGTGGATTTATGTAGATTTCTGTTGAATTAGAAATGGGAGGATGGGTCAAAGGCTGGACGGGCAGTCCCATAGATCTGAGAGATTTAGTACATGATAAATGCAAATGGCTGTTGGTTGGAAGGGGCCCGAACTGGCCAAAGGTTCTTGAGTTGGTTTTGATGGCCAACTAGTTAGAGTGCACGGAGTGCCCTGGACACTTCCAAGATTCTATCTGAAATCACTGATGGATGGGCAGAGGGAGAGCAGAGCTGGGCACTTTGCACGGAGATGACCCCAACAGGAGACATTCTTCCCTGATTCCTGGAGAGATCTTGGGAATCTCTGCTCTCCCTCTTCACTGTGCTTAGCCCGTGCTGCGGACATCAGGTTGCTGAGGGGCCTGGCGCATCTGCTGCAGAAGCAGAGCCCGCGTGCCCATCTTCCCTAATAACCTCGTGTCTAAATTGTCGTGTCCCACAAGGGCGTGTTTAGAAATTAGCATTTGAAAAGAAGCCTCCTTGCTTTCAGCTTGAGCTGACATGGTCCCTTTTCCTCTGTGGAAATGAAATTTATTAATCATAATAAAACCATCGGATTCTGAAGGTAGAGGTCACCCCGAGGAGACAAGGAGCCCTACTCATTTGCGAGGAATAGTTCAGCGCTGCTGTATTTTCTTCCGCCTCGGAAGCGCATACTGCCAGATTGTTACCTTGGGTTTTCTGCAAAGGTTGAAATGATGCCCAGAATTAGAGTCCAATAAGGATTCACCATTCAAGTACGCAGAAGGAGAAGATAGGGCCTGCATCCTCATTAAGTACATCCACCCTGCCGATATGGCGTCTCCTAAGAACGTGGAAATTTCTGCCACAGTAAGACCATTCTCCAAATTTAAATCTTCATAATAACAATTGTCTTGGATTTGTATCTTGGCATCTCTTGATAAATCCCCAGGGGTTTTTATTTTTGCCTTTGTAGTTCACATTCTGTTTGTGTCACCAACTTTGCCAGACAGAAAGGACACCAAAAATAATCCCATTCAGAGGACTTTTTGTAGAGCCATGGCAGACTGTTTTCTCAGAAGGGAAGGTCAATGCCGCAGTTATACATGATTTCCTTGTACCCTTCTTATGTCTCCTTGGTTAGTGGGTGGAGGCCCAGGTCTCTTGAGTGGCCACTGTGAATATCTGAGTTCTTTGAGAACCTCCACCCTTCTCTTTTTTTTTAATATTTATTTTTCAGTTGTCGTTGGACACCTTACCTTTATGGCATTTATTTTGATGCGGTGCTAAGGATGGAACCCAGGGCCTCACGCTTGCTAGGCGAGTGCTCTGCTGCCGAGCCACCACCCCAGCCCTAACCCTGTGCCTGGCTTTCATCTGCCCTTCCTCATAGAGAGCAGGAGAGATTGGATGAAAGGCTGTTTTTAGTGGGGACAGATGGGAGGCTGGGGAGTTGGAACAGGCAGGTGTGAACTGGTAGAACCCATCTTCCCATGGGATCCACGTCTGCGCTTGGGAAGGTGCCCTGCCCAGCTTCCCTCCCCTTCCCCTGCCCCGGGTCTGAGCAGCCAGGTCAGACCCTCCAGCACTTCCCCGGGCAGGAGGAGGGACCAAGAGCCTGGGAAAGGCAGGACTGAAACCCAGACCTTCCCACCCCCAGCCCTCGGCTCTCCCCAGGCCTTGAGTGGCCTCCTCGCTCTCACCAGCTAGTAAGAAGGAGGTTAGAAGGAAAATGGAGAAAGCCAGAGAAGGGGAAGATGAAGTAGGCGCCCACTGGACATCATGGGCGTAAGGTGGGCGGTGTGGACAGTGCTCTGCTCTCTGCCTTCATTAAAATAAAAAAAAAAAAAGTCAAACGTTGAAAACCCACTGAGATCCCACTCGGTGCCTGGCTTTCGGGTGCCCAGCTGCTGCGAGAGATGGCTGCCAATGGAGTAGCACCCTCCCTGCTCCAGCAGACTGTTCTCTGCCCCAGGGAGCCACTCACGGAAGCCCTCCTAATGCTTCCCTAAGGAGCCGACCCACCGGCCACACCCATAGGATCCAGTCCGAGCCGGAATCCAGCTCTGGCCACGTCCTCTTTCTCTTTTACTCCTGGCTGTGACTTGCTGCCTGCCTCCTGCCCTCCTCTTGAGAGCACCGTCTCCTTAAATCGCTTGCACAAGTCTCCGTGTTGGACTCCAGGCACCTCGCCTAAGAGCCAGTCTCAGCTTTGATTGGCACTGAAATGGCCCCACTCAAAGTACTCCAAGAAGCTAAGTGGCAGGTCAAACCATGAGGGCGGGTGAGGTTGGACAAGAGGCAGTGAGATGCCCTGGGACTCAAGGGTCGGCTCTGATTCTGTCTGGCTGTGTGACCTAGAGCAAGTGAAGGAAGCTCTCTGACCTAGTCTCTGATTTACGGCAGGGTTTCATTCTAGGCCCTTAGCAGGCACCCGGCACCTCTGGTTCCATCTCCTCTTTGTTTTTATTTTAAAGCCTCTTCTAGAAGCTACAGCTGCAGAGGAAGAAAGAGGGGAGAAGTAGAAAAACTGAAAGATGAGCCTAAGATACATTGTTTCAAATGCCTTTCTCCCCAGAACCTGGCCAGTGGTGGACAGGTGGCACAGGAGGTGATAAGGTCAAAGTCAAGTCAGATGCTAATTCCTGAACGAAGTGGGGTGATGGATGCGTCTGTTCCATCCTGAGACATTGGATGCTAACTGTGCCAACAGCGTCACTTCACCCTTCTGACCCACCCTCTCTGGTTTGATTGGTGACAGGAAAGTTGGGGACATTGGGCTTCTTAAATCTGCTCCTTTGAGTTGTTTCTTCTTGCCTGCCTCCGTCTCTGGGGCAGCTATGACAGCCATGTAGGACAGGTATCATGGTGGGAGGACATATGTGTATGTGTGTACAGCCAGCCACACACCACATAACAGCGCTTCAGTCTGTGACAGACCACATACCCGTCAACAGTCATATACGATCATACCACCTGAGCTGGACATGGTGGTGCACACCCATAATCCCAGCTACTTTGGAAGATGAGGTAGGAGGATCACAAGTTCAAGACCGTGTCTCAAAATGAGATTAATAATAGGTGAGGTGGCTGGGTGTGGCTCAGAGGTAGAGCACTTGCCTAGTGTGCATGAGGTCCTGGGTTCAATCCCTGCTACAGGAAAAACAGTAGAAAGACTGTATACCACATGGTGACCTCAAGGTCAAGTTCGTTGGTATGTACAGTACACTGTAGGATGTTCCAGCAACAAGACCACCTAACAATGCATTTCTCAGAAACTGTTCCATCATTAAGCAGTGCCTGACTAGGTATATGGGACATGTCAGGGTGGACCAAAGAGTGCATTGAGCACAGATAGCTTTGTCCGTTAACGCGGCAGATAGAATGTTTCTTGCCTTAAGAGGAGTAGGACCCCCGCACACTGCCTTGGTATTTCGTGTTTTGTGATTGGCATCATCGCTTTGTGATTGCACGTGACGGACCAGTCTCCACCTGTTTTCCTTGCAGTTACGGACGAGTTTATGCTGCCGACCCCTACCACCACACACTTGCTCCAGCCCCCACCTACGGCGTTGGTGCCATGGTGAGTACCGGCTCCTCCTTGTCCTCACTTCTTCCTGCCTCCCTTCCCTCCCCCAGCTGGGACCTTCGTCTGAGTTGACGGTTGACGTCCTCTCACTTTCCCTTAATTGAATTTGTCTCTTGTGCTAACAGCAGCTAAAATGCCACATTAATCCTCCCGGTAAACTTGATAAATGTCTTAATTTCTTGGCAATGTAGTGCATGTAAGTTATTATATTTCTAATTTTGCAAGTCTCACCTAGCGGAGCACTTACCTTAATGGAATAATTAGTCATTTTGATAATTAAATCCATCACTAACGGAATGCAGTGTCAATGCAGAACTTTTTTTTTTCTTTTTTTTTTCCCTCCCTTGCTGCTCATTCACATAGCCCCAAGGTTCCAGCCCCAGCACAGACTTCAGAGGAGCTAAGCTGCACACTTCCAGGCCTCTGCTGTCAGGCAGCTGAGCATCTGCCTGCCTCTCCTCCCCTTTTCCAATTCATGTTTAAAGTCATAGTCGCCCAGGAAAGAAAATAGACAGAGGGGCACACTTTGTGTGTGTGCCTAGTACATAAGAAATTAGAAGGAATCAGCTGGGTTTGGGGGTTGTCTTTTGTTTTTGGTGGGGGGGGGGTGGTCTGGGTTTTTGTTTGGGGAAGGGTAGGGGGAGGGCAAAAGTGGGAGGTGAGGGTGGGTGAATTTGCCTGTACTTGTTCAAACTTCTATGCACTAAAACTCTTGAGTACAGTCGAGACGTGCCCATCACGTGAGAGCGTATGCAATCATTACAAAGCTTTGGCATGCAGTTTTCTGCTTGGATCAAGAATATCAGTCCTTATCCTAAAAATAAATTCCCATAGGCATTCATTGGAATCGCCAGTACTTTTAGAAAAATGGTTAAGTGCCACCTCATAGCCATTTAAAGCCAGGGCCAGACAATCCCCTGGAGCTGGGGCGTAGACCCCCAACCGGGATCTGGATACATACTGTTTTGCCCAAGCGTAACTACATGAAGCAATGCACCTGGACACTGCCCTCCCGAGATCAGGTTCCGTGCCGATTGCTCTAAGAACCAGGTTTAGGTTTTCCTCCCGGCCCTGCATTCAACAGCTCCACTTCCACACCTGGTCTACCCGAGGATCGTGTTGGAAAGGAGGGTTGAGTCCCTACCTTCAGTAGCCCTCTAGCTCGGGCTTTCCCCAAGGGAACAGAGTATTAGTCGATGGATGAGCAAACGAACACCATGAGACAGTGCCAGTCCTTCCAATGGCCGGAGTCCCCTGCAGCTGACAGGACTCGACCAGAATCTGGTTTTCCAGGGGTTTTCTTTCTAAGGATCTTTTGGGGGGGGATTGGTCAGGCCTGGCCCTGTCTTTAGCTCTCCAAGAACGGCCTGGGATGGGTAGGGGTGCCATTTTGGTTGGTTTGGAGTGTCTCGTTTTTCACATTAGACTTTTTTGATGATCCACATGTTGCAAAAGGAAAATGTAAAAAACACACCCCTCAAATTGCTTTGTTTCAGAATGCTTTTGCACCCTTGACTGATGCCAAGACTAGGAGCCATGCTGATGATGTGGGTCTCGTTCTTTCTTCATTGCAGGCTAGTATATACCGAGGGGGATACAACCGTTTTGCTCCATACTAAATGACAAAACCATAAAAAATCCTTCCAATGTGGGGAGAAAGGAAGCTTTCCGAGGCCTGAGTATTGCAATACATGCAGTAGTGCATCATTTTAGCAACTCTAAAGAATAATAAAATAAAATAAAAAGAGGGAAAAAAATTACATTTTTTATCTTATACCTCAGATATTTTGTTCTGTGTATTTTAATATTGTGGGTCTTTAATTTCTGAAGGTTCTGTAGTTTGGTTGCTGGCTGTAGGAGTTTCTGTGGTTGATCTAGAGAGACGCTAGATATGAATAAAAACTGGTTTAGGGCCATATCCAGAGTGCTATATTATTGTAAATGAATTATATATGCTGAATATAAAGCTACTGGGGGTAAGCTGTTTGGGAAGAGTGTAAGTGACTACCGTAGTCCTTCTTTTCTGCATCTGCATTATTTTATTTTGTGAAAGGGAAGGTTGGGAGGGGCTTGGGGTATGGGACTCGGGGTTTGGTTGAAAGGAAAAAAAAAAAAGACAGAGTGACTAATGACTCTAAATGACCCACGGCACTAACCATCATGTATCAGTGGTTCTAAGTTACCCATTGCCAGTTCAAGCCAAAGGTCATGTGGTTAAGGGGCTGCTTCTAGTGGCACTTGGTCGACAGAGTCGAACAAAGCTGGGCAAACCCACCCTTTAAACCATTCCACCCAGCCACTAGTTACTTAGGCAAAAGCTACTAGTTAGGCCATCAACAAGCATTCTTTTTATATTTCTTCCAGTATAATAAATTATTGATATCATTGCTGACTTTTATATTACGGGAGGGAAAAAATAACATTAATAAAATGGTGATAAAAAGCACTGTTTCTATTTTTTTCTTTTTTTCCAAAAAAAGAAAGTAATAAAAACTTAAATTCTTTGTACCAGTTAAAAAAAATGTATAAAATTTACATCTGTGCAGTGGAGTTGTTGACTTCTAGAAGCAGTCTATGAAGCTTTAGTTTTAGCTTAGTAGAACAACTGTTAGAGACAGACGTATAATTTTTATGGAATTACACGATAATCATATTCGGATTTATAGACGCATTTTACAAGTATTGCAATCATCGAGTAGAGATAATCACGGTATTTTCATCAGCTTGGTACTTTTTGAAACACGACTGCGTTTTGTGAGCAATCTGCAATTTTTCGGTCCGTGGGAACCTGCCCTTCCGCCTCTCCCCCCAAACCCCAGGAATGTCTTAAACCAGTATCTTTAGTTCTGCCTCCAAGGCCCAGGACATTTGTCAGAAGGAAGCAAAAAAAAAAAAAAAAAAAAAAAGACTACTATATCCACCCTCTTCATCCCCCAAAGAGCAAAGTCCCCTACCCTTTCTGGGATGCAGGGCCAGAGGGACACAGCCGGAAAAATTGCAGTTTGTCTGTAACTTCTTCTGTTTGAACTCTTCCCATGTTGTCCTGTTTACAAGTTAACCTAAGTTGGGGTATCTGTCACGGGTCTTCCTGTTTTTGTATTTGAATCAAATGACAAGCAGCAGCAAGCTGTCCCCGAGTAGTTCTGCTGCCATCCTTAAATCCTCACATGTGCAGTGCTGGCCCCCAGGGCTGGCACTTTAGTGTTATCAACTCTCTGCTGTGAACCTGCCCATCTGCTGTAACAACTCTGCTTTAAGACAAAAAACCAAACAAAACTTAAAAAAAAAAAAAAAGTGTTTGTGATCCAGAGCCTTTCCTTGTCCTCTTATGTGCATGCCGTAAGATCAGTTGGATATTAAACCATCAATAAAGTTTCACAAGATTTGAAAACAAAGTTTCTGTAGCTTCCATATCTAAGACAGACTAGAGTGATCTGGAGGTGGGAGGGGGGGACTTCTGAGCAGCCAGGAACATAGAAATTGTCCTCTGGCCAGTCTTCTTTGGGTGGGTGAGGGGAGGGGAGGGGGCGGGGGTGTTTCTCAGCATCACTGAGAAGGTCTCATCCCCACCGGGAAAGCACTGAGATGCCACTGGGTACCGCCTGGTTGAGGTTATTCACGGAAACCATTTATTCCAATGCTATAGCATCCTACCCCAGAGGGGGAAAAGAGGTCTGGGAAGGATAAATAGATTTCTCCCAATGGCCTCAGATGTCAAAATCCAGAATTTGCATTGTATTTGGAATCACAAACATAGAATTCTTACTGTGTTGGTTAAAGTAAAATTCATTTGCAGTTTTGATTTCCATCGATGGGCTGTACTTTTCCCCCATGATCGTATGTAGTTTTAATAAAAATCACTTAGAGCAAGTGGGTGCCAACCGATGTTGCAGAATCGTTTGTCTTAGGCTCTCTGCCAAGATGCCAATAAGTCATTTTAAAATGTATGTCAGAGATGTAAACAAACATTTTGGATTTCTTTTTTAAATCAGTACTTACTTGGAATGTTTTCATTTATCTAAATAACTATTGCTATTATGAATTATGGAAAAAAAGATTAATATCATGTGTGGCATATGGTGACTTCTTAACACACATCACGCAGTCTGCAAACCCAGAAAATGTGTATATCTGTCTTTAGAGATTAGTGTTTATATCACTTGCAGTGGTTTGTGAATAATGAAAACTGGTTTGTAATATCAAAAAAATAAAAGATTAGTCTGAAAAGGTTCGTGTGTGTGTGTGTGTGTGTGTGTGTTCTGAGTTCTTTTTCTTCTCTGGGTCGGAGGAGAGATCCTCCACTCCCGGGACTGTACCTGTGCCCATTAGGGTGCTCGGGGTGGGTGCTGCCCAAGGCATGCTGGGCTGCCAACCAGGTGGCCCCTGCAGGTGCTCGGCCTGTCTGCCCAGAGAGCTGTCCTTTCTCCCTCATCTTTCCAGGAAAGCCGGTGGAATTAACCACAAATGTTGAAGACACGAAATCTAAGTCCACTAAACTGAGCTGTTCCTCAGCAAGGAAAGGGCGGCCCGCTTGGACGCAACCACGCTGTAGGCTGCACTTCAGTGTCTTAGCACAACGTTTCCAGGGGCCTTTTGGGGAATGGAGAAGGTGAAAACAGAACGAACCTTAGATTTTGCACGTATCCAGGACTTGCTCTGTTCCGAGAGACTTCCTGTGGCTTCTCGTATTGTTTATTTCATGTAATTATTTATACCTCCCACCAGGGTTTAGCTATCTGGCCCATTTAGCTACTTAAGCTTTCCTTAAATCCTGCCTCATTTAATCATCGTAATAGTTCTATCGAGTTCAAAACACGTGGAAATCTTAAAAAACAAAAAAAACAAACAAAAAACCCTAGTGGGGTCTGAGTTTACATCTGGA